GTCGGTGTGGAAACGATGACATCGATCACGCACTTTCTCAATGTACGGATAATGACGCCGCCAGAGAGCGACTTTTGAATACCCTCGAGGCCCAAGGAAGACAACCCTATGTTCCTATCAGAGACGTGTTGGGAACTCGCGATATTTGCTATATGCAGTCGGTTTATGAGTTTCTTCAAATGTCTAGTATAAGAATTTAATTCCTTTGTCTTTTGTCTCTCTTTAATAGTTTTTGTTTGTCTTGTCCCCCCGTCTCGATGAGTCTCATCGCCGCCCACTGGTCACCATAGCCGCCCAAGTAACATTGCAAGTTTTATTGAGGTTTTAAAGCATGCTACAAGTCTAAATCATGGTCTGCAGAACCCTCATAAAACCAAAATTGTTACTTGAGCGGTCGAACTCCAGACGAAACTAGAACCGCACTACCACTCATACTGGCGACAACGCTCTGATGAGACAACGAAACCTTGCCCCCAAGCTCCTCCACTGATTCTTTCCTTCGACAATGTACCTCTCTAACCTCGAGTAATCCACGAGTATTCGGCCCAACTCCTACTAGACATGTGATTGTGATTTGAGATTTGGGAAAAGTAATAACATTATGAGGTAGAGGAATGATTCCTCTATCATTTGGTATAGTTTGTTTGTGAGATTGAGCTTCTATTCAAGAGAAATCAGTAATTGACGTGTTTGTTTACAAAAGCAATTACGCCCAAATCTCAAATCACTCCGGATATATAGAGGTACCAGATATGTTTAACAGTCAGCTGTGTGTAATTCACCAACATAAATCATCGCTTATGCCTTTCAAGTAATTTTTTCTTAAATTTGAAAGTTTTGGTGCGGGAAGAAATTAACGGAAAAACTTTTGTTTTACTAATAATTGTGGTTTTGCTTAAAATTTATTTCCCGGAAAAAAGTGATCGTGTATTTTTCGGGTTGTTGTTAGGGGTGGATAAGTTGTTGGTATGGTTTAACATGCATAATTTTCCAAGTATCATCACTCATTGGGGTGGACACGCCGTGATCCACCTTTAGCCGCTGACTTGGTCCTGCTTGCTGCAGGGCCAAGTGCCACGCCGTCCGAAGCGACAATGAGTAAAAGTACGATAGCAGCGCTGTTTTATATCTTTTCAGGTTCAAGCAGAACGGTGTGCAACCGAACCTGATAGGATTTCCCGCCATTTTTTATGCAGTTTCTTTTGTGCAAAATATGTAAAAAAGGATGGACTTTGGATGTTAATATAATTGCATACATAGATGTACCATATATGTTTACAGTCAGTTGTTGGTAATCCATCGATTGTATGTCTTCTGTTAAGCAATTGTTTTCTGAAAATGTTAGCTCTCCATGTAAAAAATTAACTGTTTATACATAATTGTGGTTGGCTTAAAATTTATAATGATCGCCAAAGTCCATGTCTTTTTCGGGTTATTGCTAAGAGGGGAGTGAGAGAGGTTGTTGTTAAGGGGAAGGGGGTGTAACATGCATATTTTGTCATTATCATTCTTCATTGTGGTGGACACGCCGTGATCCACCTTAAGGCGCTGACTTAGTCCTGCTTGCAGCAGGACCTAGTGCCACGTCGTCCGAAGCGGTAATGAGCAGAGGCAGGAGAGAAGCGCTGATTTATATCTTTTCAAGTTCAAGCAGAATGATGTGCAACCAAGCGGTATTCGTTTATGATGACTGGGTTTGAGAAAAAGGCTTATTTCATGAAAACAGTGATAAAATTATCATTTGGACATTTAAAAAAGTTTAATTACAGAAAAATTGGAAAAATATTTATTTCAGAAGGTTCGTAATGTAATTTCCTATCGATTGGCGTATTTGGATTTTAATTTCATCTATAAATGACAAAGTTACAATCGTTCAAAACCTAACACTCCTTCACCACACAGCGGGCCAAGGCAAGAATGGGTATAAAGACGTTTAAGAAGCAGAAGAAGCCAAAGCGAAGGTAAAAACAAGCCGCATCCGTCAAACCAAACGCTCGGAAGCAGGGTGGCCAGATTGTTTTTGACGTAGAACTACGTCTTTGTTGACTATACTGGGGTGCTTCTTAAACGTCTTTATACCCATTCTTGCCTTGGCCCGCTGGACGTTACTTTTCAAGGATCCCACTTTTCTAGCCACGTCTCGAAACGAAGCCCTTTTCTTGCGAGTGAAAGCTTGCACGATTTTCCGGTTCAGATTTTGGTCAGTAGGGTTCGGTATACCTCCAGGTTTTTGCTTGTTCTGGAAAGTTGGAGATCGGGCTGAAAGTCTCCTTAATAATGATATTTAAAAGAAAATGGGTATAGTTCACCATTTGTGCACGATCTGTTTGCGCTTTTTCAGAGAAATGCTTCGCATTGTCACGGAAATGTAAAGAACTGCAACTTACGATACACGAAACTGTGGTTGTTAATCAGCTGTTTAAACGGCATCTGAAACAAACAGGGGTGTTCGAAAGTCGTGCTTAGACATTCTTGGACACCCTTTATTTACTTATTCTTTATGTAAATCCGACCTGAATGATTCATTATTGTGTGCTAGATCGAGAAAGTGCGAACAAACGTCAAAAAACTAAATGATAATCGCTGCACTACACGCTAATTTCAACGCGTTCAAGATGCATTTTACCTAAAAGGTGCTACGAATTTTTCATCGGCGTGACATAAATTTATTCAGCGGCGTGGAAGATTTTACTTCGGTGGCGTGCCGACTTATTTTCATCGGCGGCGGCGGCGTATGAAAATCTTCGGCGGCGGTGGCGTGGCGCGGCGGCGCACAGGTCTATTATTAGGACTGAAAACCCATGTATGACGCCATTTTGAAATTCAATATGGTGACTTCCGGTTACATAAAAATAATGTTAAATAACCTACAATACGGGTATCTTAAGAATCGGGGTGACGTGGTGGTATTTGCTAATTTTTCTGTAACCGGAAGCCACCATCTTGGATTTCGAATTGACGTCAGACATAAATTTCCGGTTCCTACATCTCACTCCGATTCCAAACATACCCATATTGTGGGATATTTTATAGTTTTTCCCAGATTCCCATAATCGTAAAAAAACTCGTTATTTGGAATTTGCTTCGTAATTACTTCGTAACAAGAAAACTCGTTATTTGAGATTTACTTCGTAAAAAACCTCGTTATTTGGGATTTACTTCGTTAAACGAAACCTCGTTATTTGGGATTTACTTCGTAAAAAGAGGGACGTAAATTGAATACTGCGTAAAAAAAAACTTCGTAAAAGGAGGTTTCAGTGTATTACATTTGTTAATGAAAGTGGGTTGTTAGTGGAATGTTTAAATAAAGGAGCAAAAATGGTTTATCTTCCATTTAATTCCACTTAAATAATGTTGGTATCCATGACAGATACGTATTTCAACTACAAAGTGCAGTCTTCATCAGTGTCATTCCCACTAAAGTTTTCATGTGTCTCAATGGCAAAAAAAAATTGAAAATATCGTTAAAAATAATTCTTTAATTCCATCAACATTCTTAATTGTTTTAGTTACAATTATCAAAAAACCATGAAAGCGATTGTAAATAGAAAACTAAGATATGCATCGTAAATTCTTTGGGACTAGTGAGGGAGTAAGCTAACAAATCAGCTATAGACTAGATTTGAGTTCACATATCGCAAAAGAAACAATTCGTTTTGATGTTCTAACACATTTTAAGCCCTTATCCGCTTATTGTGATTGTTGGATTTGGGCTTTGCATTACATAACTTAACATAACTTCATTGGTCGCTATTCCAACATGTGACCTCAGTGGTTGTAAGCCCTAGATATCACGTCCAACCATGCAATGATAAATGATAAGTTTTAACTTGACGAAGTAGATAGTTCAAGTTAGTTGGAAAAATTACAATTTATCCAAACTTAATGCATTCGGAATCAAATTAATTCCATACACAGGATTCTTCATTCAAGGATTACAACTTTTGCCTCTCTCTACAAAGGTCCTGGGTTCAATCCCCGGGATCTACTGAGGCAGGTGTGGGAGCTGCCTCTCTGGCGTCGGTAGCATTAGTACTCAGTACGGAAAACAAGGTCAACGGAAAACATCTCAAGGAAAAAAAAGGTTTACAACTTTCTCTTACAGAGCTTTGATGAGTTGTCAGTCCATTCGTAGCTAAATAGAACGATGTTTTTGAAAAAGTGTTCCGACCGGTTCAGGATAAAGTTTAGCAGTTAATGGTAGTTTTAGGGAAGTTTTGTCCCTAGAAATCTTTAAATACCCCATAATGGCGTGAAGAACATCTTTGTGTCCAAATGTCAGAACTTGGTGAACATCGTAATGCGCTAAAAAAACATGGTTTTTCCGCAGTAAATTCAGTAAGTTCGACATTTTTTCGAGGTTTTTAACAAATTCTGCTCCATTTATGATTGTTGAAAGTAAATAAATGCGTTTTAGACATTTATGAATGATAACATGGGCTTGGGACACGACTCGCTTGCCCCAATGACTCGAACTTTTGCCCCACTACAGGTAATTCCAGCTTCTTGATGAAATGTCTGATACTCATAAAATCATCTACAAGAAAAACGCAATCATTCTTCTAAATAAAATTACCCCTTGAATATTGCATTTTTTTTTGCTGTGCGCCCCCACAGTTGGTGCAACTGCTATATTTTATAATCCCGAAACACACTTTTGCCTATAATTATTCGAAAACATAACCAATTTTTGTGATTTTTTTAGGAAAAGTCTGGCTCTTGAAAACCTCAAAACGGATTTTTTGCCCCACCTTAGGAATCATTCTCTGCTCTGACTGAAAAAAATATTGTAAAGTAGCGCAGAAGATTGCCCGCCCAGCAGAGATTTCCATCGATTAAATTAAACTGATTTCCGCCAGGAAAATATGTGTCTATCAAGCTTCCTGCCGATACTGGTATAAAAGTCCTTTCATGTGAACTATTTTCTTCACACTCATCTGCGACATCACTAATCAAGTGCAGCATTCGAGTCAGAACAAATTTCTCTTCCCATCATCACAATGTCATCGTTGAAAGTAATTTCATCCGTTATTTGCATTGTTGCTTTCATGGCTCTCGTTCTTATCAATAACACCGATGCTAATCCCCAAATAGGTAAGCTATTATCAAACAAAGCAAATCAAACATGTACAACAAATTAACAATATGGCCTCCATTTAAGACATCCTTGGCGGTTACGACCTGATCGGTGTCTGTATCAACAACTGCGCCCAGTGCAAGAAGATGTTCGGTGAGTTCTTCGATGGCCATCTGTGTGCCGAAGCCTGCATCCAATTCAAGGGCAAGATGGTCCCGGACTGTGAAGACATCAATTCGATCGCTCCTTTCCTCAACAAGCTCAACTAACTAACCCCTACGCTGACCACCGGACCTCATCAACTCAAGTGACCTCTCGCAGTTCCAGAGCATTTCCCGTGCTAGCTTGTGTATTTATTTTGATATCATCCTAACCAAAAAAACAGGAGTAGAATGCTACCCTTTAAAGCTCACAAATAAATCACTGCTCGTTAAGAATTCAAAATTATTCTAATTTCTTTACACGGAGTTCAACCAGTCAAGAATGGGTCATTGTTTGCTCAAGCCACCGATGCGAAAACAAACCATATGGCTTGCCTATGATGAACGACCGACCGAGCATCCGATGACGACGCGCTGGGTGTGAGTGATGATCAGTGCGATCTTGATGCTCCAGAGCGTTCTATTTGTTGAAGCAATTAAAAAAGCAGATCTAGAGACTCTTGATCGCTAATCATAACAGCGTACTCTGGATCCCCGGGGTTGTCTGGGTAAGTGGCTATAGCCAACCACAGCCAACCTATGTGCGCGCGCGTGTGTGTGTGTGTGTGTGTGTGTGTGTGTGTGCGTCTGTACTGGAAGTCAGGATAAGTGCTTCCATTACGTTGCTCCTACGGGAGTGCACGGGAGGCGATATACAAGTGGCCGGATATCAAGTACCCCTTCGGATGCTGTCTGGTGCTTGTTGGAGACGACTGAACGTTGTAGGTTCCGACGTTGGACGTGGATTTGATGTTTCTTGATGGAGGAGAGTAGCAGCCGATGATGATGATGATGATGGTGATGGAACTCAAGCAGCTGTTGCTCGTTGTGAGCTTTCAAGTGTAAATAAACACTTGGGGTTTGTTTTTTCAAAGCACAATTTATCAAGCTGGTTGTCGAGGGAAGGCACACTGGATCATTTTGGTTCGATGGATAATGGGCCGGAGGACTTATGGTATGTTTTGATGTGATAAAAGTTCTACGTTAATTGGATCAAATATTTGGAAAATTACAAAAGCAATTCGACTGGTGCGCTGACCTGGTGATTACTAGGGTTGGGACCAATTGATGAAAACAAAGCGAAGGGTTCAGTCCAAAGGATAATTTTTGTAGCACTGCACTGCATATTTGGCCCGAATATCTATCAAAGTTCACACTGGCCAAAAATTCGGTTCACCGAATAGTAGAAATAATATTCAGACAAATATTTCCAATTAAGTCCACTTTATTTACTTAAATAACGATTAAAAGAAGCACAAACAGTTGAATTTCATTCAGCAAAAGTTGCTGGTTTACGTGTAATGCAGATAATTATAATTTAAGGTACCGTAAGATGAGGTGTCATTGGTTACTTACAAGACCCTCTTAGAAGCTTAGTTTCTGCCTTGCTTTAAACATCATATTTTTAACAATTAACTGTTTCATTACCTCTCCTTGCATCAATAATATCTTTCGACGGATAATTCATCGAATCAGGTCCAAGATATGATCACTGTCCTACAGTGATATTTACTGCCGTATTCTAGTGTCTATACTAGACTCGTTCAAATTTTTACTTCACAATTCTGATTGTGATATATTTGCTCTCTGTGAAACATGGCTTTCTTCCGATAAAGAACTCAACCTTCACGATTTTAACATTATAAGCCTGAATAGAGACGATTTTTATGCAGGAGTTCTTTTAGGGATCAAAAAGTGCTACCATTTCTACACAATTTCCCTTCCTTCTCTATCAGGCGTCGAAATCGTCGCTTGCCAAATAATGTGAAGAAAAAAGATCTTTGCATAGCTTCAGTATACGTATAAGTCGATTGCTGAATTTATGTATAGGCCTAAATTAGGAGCCTTAAGGCCGATATTACATCCATTTCCTCTATGATTACTTTTGTATGGGTCTCCTCACATTGCTCAATCACAGGCAATGGGAAGGCGGACTCACTCGCAAAGGTGGGCTGCGCGGAAGGCGAATTTTATGACAGGCAAATTTTACACGATGAATTTTACCATTTAGTGCGTCAGAGTACCCTTTCGAGTTGGCAAACCGATTGAGACACTGGAAATCTTGGACGGCGGTTACATTCAATTATTCCTAATGTTTCTTCGAGAGCGTGGCTTGAGCTTAAGTCGTGACTTCATTCGCGTAATGAGTAGACTTATGTTCAACCACTACTCGGTAGATGCGCATCAGAATAAGTCTCGTGGACAGAAACATCTGTCGGTGTGGAGACGGTAACGATGACATCGATCACGCAGTTTGGCAATGTACGGATAATGATACCGCCAGAGAGCGACTTTTGAATACCCTCGAGGCCCCTATGTTCCTATCAGAGACGTGTTGCGTACCCGCTATCTCTGCTATATGCAGTCGATTTATGTGTTTCTGTAAATGTCTAGTAGGGGAAAAGTTGGCTTCGGCAACACCTTAACCTATTATCGTCAGGGGGTAAACAACGTCCTTGAGAGCTCAATTTTGGCATGTGGATGCATTGTGTTTCAGAGCAACTATTGGTCAAATTTGAGTGCTCTAGGACTTTGTTTACCCCCTGACGATAATAGGTTAAGGTATTGCCGAAGCCAACTTTTCCCCTATTAGAATTTAATTCCTTTGTCTTTTGTTTCTCTTTATTAGCTTTTGTTTGTCTTGTCCCCCGTCTCGATGCGACTCATCGTCACCTACTGGTCACCACAGCCGTTCGAACTATAGACGAATATAACCGCACTACCGTTCATACTGGCGACAACGCTCTGATGATACAACGAAACCCCACCCCCAATACCTTACCTTGTTGTTGTCCTTTGCTATCCGAAGAAGTCGTATTCACTCTGCTCGATCCATGGCCTCACTTCGTCAGCCTCGTATTTTGCGAAGGGTCCGCAGGTCGCCTTCTACTTGGTCGATTCACCTTGCCCGCTGCGCGCCTCTTCTTCTTGTTCCTGTTGGGTCGCTTTCGAGATCCATTTTCATTGGGTCGTCGTGCGGCATTCTTACGACGTGCCCACCCCACCGTAGTCGCATAATTTTTTAAATGTGGACGATGGATGGTTCACCCAGCAGCTGATGCAATTCGTGGTTCATTCGCCTCCTCCACGTTCCGTCATCCATCTGCACTCCACCGTAGATGGTACACAACACCTTCCGTTTGAAAACACCATAGCACACAAGCATAGTCCAGGTCTGTAACCTGCTGATTCACGAAAATTTGGTCTGCGGTAGCGCGGGCACCCATGAATTCTTCCTGGTATTGCCCCACGAACTTTCTTGTAAATGATGACAGGTGGCGGCATAGAATTTGGGAGAGTACCTTGTAGGCGGTGCTGAGCAGTGTGATCGCGCCGTAGTTGCGATACCTTCCATCCACTCCTCCGGTAATATCTCCTACTCCCAAATCTTGGCAATTACCCAGTGCAGTGCTCTAGCCAGCACTTCACCACCGTATTTTATTAGTTCACTTGGTAGTTGATCTACATCAGTTGCTTTGTTGTTCTTCAGCCGAACGATCTCCTCCTCAACTTCTTGAAGATCAGGGGCTGGTAGCTTGTCGTATTCTGTGTGTGCTCCAAGGTCTGCCACCTTCGTTTTCTGCTGCATCACCGTTGAGGTGCTCGCCATAGTACTGCTTCCACCTCTCAATCATCTCACACTCGTTCGTGAGAAGGTAACCGGCCAAGTCCTTGCATATATCGTTTACGCGGTACAGATTTTCCATCGCCTGGCGATCTCGGTCTTCCTGCTGACGCTTCTTCCTTCGGAAAACCGAGTTTTGTCTGTTCCGCGCTTGTCTGTTTTGCTTCTCATTCAATCTCGTGCGGTGTTGCAGCATGTCACTTCAGCCATCTTCAAGAGTACCTGCCCCAAGCTGCTCTTCCGTGGGTAGTAGTCCGAATCTATGTTCGCACTGCGGTACGTGCGATGTCGTGATAATGTCGGAGAAGAATTTTCCGTCGATTAGAATGTGATCGATTTGGTTTTCTGTCTTTGGTCAGGTTATCTCCAGGTGGTTTTGTGGATATCCTTGCGGGGGAAAATGTACTTGGGACTACTATACCCCGAGAGACTGCAAAGTTCACGCATTGTTGGCCGTTATCGTTCAATAAGGCATGCAGGCTATTTGGCCCGATTGCTGGTCTATAGATTGCCTCCCGTCCTACCCTACCACCAAGCTCCTCCCCTTATCCTATCCTTTGACAATGTACCCCTCTAACCTCGGGTAAGTCGTGAGTATTCGGCCCAATTCCTACTAGACGTAGAAATAAGTTAATTTTGTTACAAACAAACAATGAACAATGAATTTTTCGCTCCGTAAACCTAACGCGATTCAGCCTTAAAAATAAAAGAACTACATAAAAAAAAACACTGGAAAGTTGTTTTATTTAAATAGTACTGTAAAGGTGAGCTTCATAAACACGGTTTTAAAAATATCCACAGACAAACAAAAGTTATCTGGATAGACGAGGGATACAGCCCAAGTAACTTTTTTTTAAATTTTATGAAATACCACAAAGCTGGTCAAGGCTGCATTGCCATTGATGCATCAACCAGCTCCTCATTGAGACTAGAATCTGTCTAGTTGGCCGAGCCTGGAGAAGATTCTGAAGGGTGTATTTTTGAAGCTCTTATTTATTTGCTCATTTCTAAATTGACCAAAATAAAGTTGTACTCAAGTAACTGCATACTGAAAATCAAAAATTTTAAAAAACATAGTAAATAAGGGATTTTTTTTCCTTTATTTAACGTCGGTCTCTGTTCCGAAATCTAGTGCCAATCACCGACGGAAATCGATTGCCATCCATTGACGGCAATCGAATGTGCAGGAAGGCAGCTTCCACACCTGCGTAGGATATCGCACCCATTCAACACACATGGGCCGGGACCAACGGCTTTACTTCCCTTCTGAAGGAAGACGTGACCAGAGATTTGTATGCCTCAGAAAAATCCCACCGACCTCAGCTGGAATTGAACCCAGACCCTTTGGGGTGTTAGAAAGCAGTCACGCTTACCACTACACCACCGGCGCTGGCAATAAGGGAAATGTCGGCCTAAATTCCCCAAATTTGGGCCCATACATACATTCAGCAATCGACCAGCAACCAAAAATATGCATAAGTACCGTCCAAATGACGCGTTCATCTAGATAAAATGGATAAATAGCAGATTTTTAGCGATGGGCCCAATCTGAGATCCGTAGGCCAACATTAGAGCCATTTCCCCTAATTGTAATATGGCAGAGCTTGATATGCATGGGC